GCACAGACAGACAAGCAGGATGGCATCAAACTAAAAAGCTACATAACAAAAGAAACAGAGTGAAAAGGCAACCTGTGAAATGGGAAAAACATCTGCAAATTATATATATGATTAAGTGTTAATATTCAAAATTTATAAGGAACTCAAACAGCTCCAAAGCTAAATAAATAAATAGATGATAGATGATAGATAGATAGATAGATAGATAGATAGATAGATAGATAGATAGATAGATAGATAACAAATAACCGGAATAAAAAATGGGGTAAGGACCAGAATAGACATTTCTCAAAAGAAATGGCCAACAGGTATATGAAAAGGTGCTCAGCATCACTAATCAGAGAAATGCAAATCAAAACCACAATGAGGATGACCATTATAAAAAAGACAAGAGATACCAGAGGGTAGGGTTGGGGGAGGGGGGATGTAGATGGGGTAAAGGGGGTCAAATATGTGGTGACGGAAAGAAATCTAACTATGGGAGGTGAACACACAGTGTGGAAAGGTGATGTGAAGACACAGGGAGATGGCTATCTATGAGAAAAGGAGATAGGCCTGGAATATACCTTTTCCTCATAGGCTTCAGAAGGAAACAAATCTGCCAACACCTTGATTTTGAAATTTTAGTCTCCAGAACTATAAAAAAATAAATTTCTGTTGTTTATGCCACCCAATCTGTGGCACTTTGTTATGCAGCCCTAGCAAACTGATACAGAAATAGTTGGTTGTGGTTAGATCAGATAAGATGAACTAAAGTAAAAATTACTGCAGGTCTATAATAATGGAAAATCTGGCTAGAAATTTATGTCAACAACTAGAGCAAAGTATGAACATAAGTGAACTCTGCACCATCTTGTCTACTGTGAATTTCACCAAAAAGAATAAATAATAAATGATATTAAAAAAAAAAAGACAAGAGATAACAGCGTTGGCAAGGATGTGAAGAAAAGGGTACCCTTGTACACTGTCAGTGGGAATGTAACCTGGGACAGCCACTACAGAAAACAGTATGGAGGTGTCTCAAAAAATTAAAAATAGTACTGCCATGTGATCCAGCATTCCCACTTCTGGATATATATCCAAAGGAAATAAAATTACTATCTGAAAAAGATAGCTGAACTTCTATGTTCATTGCAGCATTATTCACAATAGCCAAGATATAAAATAACTTAAAATAACTTAAGTGTCAGTTGATGAATGGTATAAAAGTGTAATATATATGTTTAATATATATCACACACACTATACATATAGTGCGTGTGTGTGTGTGTGTGTGTGTGTAATATCATTTAGTTTTTAAAAAGAAAGAATGCTGCTATTTGTGACATCACTGATGAACCTGGAGGCCATTATTCTATGTGAAATAAGTCAGACAGAAAAGGACAAAAACAGCATGATCTCACATATGTGGAATCCAAAAAATGTCAAATTCATAAAAGCCAAGTGGAATGGTAGTTGCCAGAGGCTGAGGTGAGGGGGAAATGGGGATGTGGTGGGCAAAGGGTATAAAGGTTCAGTTATGTGGGATGAATAAGTTGGAGATCTAATGCACAGCATGGTGATGATAGTTAATCATACTATATTATATACTTGAAATTTGTTGAGAGTTGACCTTATATGTTCTCATCACACACACACACACACACACACACACACACACACACACAAATGGTAACCATGTGAGGTGATGGATATGTTAATTAGCTTGTCATAATCATTTCAAAATATATTTGCATATCTATAAATCACATTGTATATCTTAAACCCAATTTTTCTTTGTCAAGTATAGTTTGATAAAGCTGGAAAAAATAAAATAAAATTTTACGTAAAGACGCTGCCCTTTCTCTCATTGATACTGCAACCTTTTATTGATTTGTCTCTAGGAAAATGCACGAAGTATAAGATAATAAATGCATTATGAAATTTTAAAAAATACCTCATTCATAACAGCATGAAAATCCAAAAATTACCTAAGAAGAAGTTTCACAAAAATGTTCAAGATCTTTATAGAGGCAACTATAAAACTTTCCTGAGAGATCCAAAATATTGGAAATATGTCAATTGTTCTCAAATAATTTACAAAATTATTGCCTTACCTGCATGTGCCAAGATGACAAGCTTGGGCTGCTGTCTTCCAACTGTTGGCTTGAGCTGGATGGACTCAGGTCTGCAGAGGGAGAAGGCCAACTCAATGCCTGGAGTCAAAGTGATGATCCTGAGGAAGAACTAAGAACTCCTACCACAGAAGAGACTAGTCCCAGGCCCACTCTACTCTAGCTATTAGCTTTGGGAGACTTTGGGGCACAATGGCCAGATGTGGCAGACCCTGACTTCCACCAGGAGAGGGGAACATTTTCAGGGAGGTGATGGTTTTCATCTGATATAGCAAGACTCAGGTCAGCAGAGGGAGGAATCCTAGGCACTGCCAGATATCAAAACAAGAACCTTTATAGAGGGCTGAATTAGTCACCCACACCAAACAGAGGTGTCCCACAGAAATGCCTAGGAGGCCTTAGGCAGGAATGTCAAGAAGAGGTGCCACCACCTACATCCTCTGTATTTCCGTGATGTGCATCTCGAAGAGACATGGGCCTTGTGAAGGCAGAGGGTGCAGGCCCTGTCTGGAGAAAATATGAATACCCTGTGGAGGACTGAGGGTAACCCCCACCCCAGAACACATAGGGAGCCACACAGAAACCTACCTTGCCTTTGGTGTCAGTCTGGTAGACTCTATGCAGCTCTGTCAGGCTAAGGACCTGTCTCACTCCTATCTTGGTGGTCTTGGTAAGGTAAGGGTCTTGATGTGAGGGGTGAGTTTCAGGTTGCCGGAGGGGTTCAGGCAGTAGAAGTCAAGACAAGGCTGCAGTGTTGTCCCATTCCAAATACAGTGGGATACATCCCACTCCCCACTCTGGCCCTGCTTTGAGCTCTGAGAACTGTGTGGCAGAATACTCACATGTGTTGTATCCTGACTTTTGCCTTGAGAGTCTGTGGGAGGCAAGGTTTCCTCTGAGGAAGCTGTACTAGGGTCAGCAGAGGGAGGAGTCTCAGGCCCTGCCAGGCTTCAACGTGAAGCTCCAGAGAGAGAAGTGAGAGAACCTCCCACCACGGATAGAGGGGGCCCTCATTCAGGCTCTGCTCCTGCAGTCATCCTTGGGAGGCCTGGTTCCCAGCTGTGACGTGTCTAGACTTCCGCCTTGGGAGGCTGAGGTATGTGAGGCTTGGTGCTGGAGTCGGGTCAGCGAGGGAGGAGTCAGAGGGAGGAGTCGGAGGGAGGAGTCGGAGGGAGGAGTCGAGGGAGGAGTCGAGGGAGGAGTCGGAGGGAGGAGTCGGAGGAAGGAGACCGAGGGAGGAGACCGAGGGAAGAGACCGAGGGAGGAGACTGAGGACTTGCCAGCCTTTAAGGTGAGGACACTAATATAAGACTGAAGGAAAGGAGCTCAAACCACAAAGAGAAGGTGTCCTAGCCCCCATCTTGCCCCTGTTCTCTACCCTGGAAATTCCCAGGCAGAGCCTCAGTTGTTTTGTATCCGGACCTCCATCTTGAGGGTGTGAGAGACGCGCGGCTTTTTCTGAGCAGTACCCACTCAGGTCACGGACTCAAGTCGTCAGAGAGAAGTGCCCCAGGCTCTGCCAGGCATTAAGGTGAGGACCCTTATGGAGGGCAGAGGGGACCTCCCATCAGACAGAAAACAACCCCACGGACACATCCTTGCGGTCAGCCTTTGGAGGCCCAGGGCAGGGCAGTTAGGTAGAGATGCCTCCCGCAATGCTCTGTACTTCCTTGTGGATGATATCCGGGAGATGGGAGCATTGGCCTGAGGGCAGCATTCCCAGGTCTGCAGAAGGGAGAGGGTAAATATTAATTCCTCACGAAGGACTGTGGATATGCCCCACCACAGAACCCAGAGGCATCTTTGCAGAAATTTACCCTGATCCCTCTGTCAGCCCTGGGGACCCTAGGAAATGCCGTCAGGCTGAACATCCACCTTTCTTCCACCCCATTTACAGATCAGGGGCCTCAGGAAGTTACAGGCCTTGGTCTAAAAGGCCCACCCTCTGGTAATTGGAAGAAGGAGTCCCAGCCCCTGCTGGACTTTGAGGTGAGTACCTAAGAGATGACTAAGTGTACCTACCACCCCAGAGCATATTGGATCCAGTCCCCACTGTCTGACTTGGGAGATCTTGGGCAGGATGGCTGGATATGGCCTCTCTTCACTTTTATGTCATTGGTCTTCAGGTGGTGAAAATTTTGGTCTGACTACATAACTTCACATCAGCAGAGGTAGTCATATCAGGTTAGCCCAGGAAGGAGCCACAGGCTCTGTGAGTAAAGTGAGGACCCTGAACAAAGATTGAGGGCCATTCTCTCCTCAGCCCTTAGAGAGATAAGGTTCCTTCCCTTCCCTGCCCTGAAAAGCCATGAGAGGCCCTGCTGCACAGTGTCAGGATTTGGTGTGCCCTCCCTCCCACCTGTTGGTTTCAAAGGTCTGGACTCCATTTAACAGAAGGGTGAGTCTAAGGCTCGGCCAGGAATTAATTTGTGGTTGGAGGAATGGGTGAACTTCTACTCAAGAACAGATGGGACCCAGCTCTTGCTATCAACCATGATAGGACCTAGGGCATGGTGGTTAAATCTAGCACTCCCTCATCTCCACTGCTGTCTCAGGGAAGTAAGGCCCTGGTTTAAAGAGAATGATCTCAAGTCAACAGAAGAGTCCCAGGCCCTGCCAGGCATCAAGGTAAGGACTGAGATGATCCCCCTATTCCAGGAGAGAGGGATCCCCACAGAGTTCATCCAGCCCTCACTGCCACCCCAGGGAGGTCCTGGGCAAGTGTGGCCAAATATGATATCCCCTCAGTACTTCCTGTTGGTTTAAGAATGTGAGCTCCTGTTCTGAGAGTTTTGTCTCATACTCTTCCTCTCTCCCTCAGGCCATTGGCCCCCATCACCCACCTCCTGCTCACACTCCTGCCTGCTGCCCCCAATACAAGTCATCATGCCTCATAGTCTGAAGAGCGAGTGCAACAAGCTTGAACTAAGCCTTCAGGCCCAAAATGAGGCTCCAGACCTGATGGGTGCACAGGTTCCTATAACTGAGGAAGAATCTGCCACCTCCTCTCTCTCTCCTTTGGTCCAGGGCACCCCAGAGGCGGTGCCTGCTGCTGGAACACCAAGTGTTCCCCAGAGTTCCCAGAGAGCCTGCTCCTCCCCCACTGCCATAATAGCCACTCCATCGAGTCAATCTGATGAGAGTTCCAGAAGCCAAGAAGAGGAGGGGCCCAGCACCCCGCAGCCTCCAGCACACCCCGAGTCCTTGCTCACTGATGTGCTACACAAGAAGGTGGCTGAATTGGTGCAGTTCCTGACTGAAAAGTATATGACAAAGGAGCCCATCACGAAGGCAGAAATGCTGAAAAGCATCCTCAAAGAGCACAGGGACCACTTCCCTGTGGTCTTCAAGAGAGTCTGTCAGTGCATGGAGGTTGTCTTTGGCATTGAAGTGAAGGAAGTGGACCCCACCAACCATTCCTACGTGCTCGTCAAAACACTAGACCTCACCTACGATGGGATGCTGAGTGATGTCCAAGGCATGCCCAAGACCGGCCTCCTGATACTTGTCCTGGGCATAATTTTCATGGAGGGCAATCGTGCCCCTGAAGAAAAAATCTGGGAAGTACTGAATATGATTGGAGTATATGCTGAGAAGAAAGATTTCATCTATGGAGAGCCGAGGAAGCTCATCACCAAAGATTTAGTGCAGGAAAAGTACCTGGAGTACCGGCAGGTGCCCAACAGCGATCCTGCTCGCTACGAGTTCCTGTGGGGTCCCAGGGCCCACGCTGAAACCACAAAGATGAAAGTCTTGAAGTTTTTCACCAAAGCCATTGGGACTGACCCAACTTCCTTCCCAATCTGGTATGAGGAAGCTTTGAGAGATGAGAAAGAGCGAGCTGATACCAGAGTTGCCACCAGCAATGGTACTACTGACACAGCCAGTTCTAGTGTCATGTCCTGTCCTGAGTGAACTCTGAGGACACTCTGTGTTTGAAGAGGGCAATCAAGATTCCAAGTAGTGGAGAGCTGAATTGCAGATTTTTTCTTTTCTTTTTTTTTTTTGGTATGTTTCAAATGTTCTTTCTCTTAAAAGATTTATTAGCTTCAGAGTATAGGTTCACAAATGATATTAGTTATGTATTTATTGCTGTTTAACAAGCTTAAGGATAAGAATTTTGCTGTTCTATAAAAGAAATTGGGGAACCTTTCATCTCATATTGTGATCTGGAGCAGGATAACATGGCATTGGAATAGGAATTTCTTGAGAAATGTAAAAGTGCTCAGCAATAAAGTAGATGGGATCAAGAAATAGAGGAAAGAATGTACAAGATGGTTATCCTAGGATTCCTGCATCTCTTTTAGTCTGCTGTTTTGTAAAATTAAAGATATATACCTGAATTTGCTTGGCTAATTAAAGAATGTAGGCAAATTAAATCTTAATAAATGAGAGCTCCAACTCCCTGGCTCGTTTATTCTCATAAGTATGTTTTATAGGTGAGAGAAAAGCCTAGAATGGAAAACTGCTCAGAAGATCCTTTGGGATCATGAATAAACCAGAGAGAAATCTCCACCTGGAGCAGGTGTGGACAGTGTCCTGTATTCTTGTCCCCATGCCACTGAACACAGTGGACAAACTTAGCGCTGTATACACATTGTCTGCAAGGATTAGGATAATCTTTCTTTGAAGTGGCGCCCAAAGGCTGGCACTTTTTCCCTGCCATGGGAATGCCAGAGCCCACTCCATTGAAAAGGTGTTTTAATTAAGTTATCTTGAGTGTAACTTGGCCAACTAAGCAAGGGCTAGATATTTGGTGGGGGGTGATATGCATGAAAATAATGTGTTTTATGGAAGAACAGCTAAGATAGAGGAAAGGAGTTAGTCCTTGACTCAAATTCTAGGAGTTTTGAGTTGCATTCAGCTGGAGAAGACTTCCTCATATCCACATTAAATAATATATCCACTAACAGAAAATTTACTGAGTTTTATTTTCAAAGCTGCATTTTTGGTTCTCTTGGTGTCTTGTGTCCTAGAGTGCTACATATTCTCTGAGATGTCATTATTAATAAGTCTAATGAAAAAAAGTATTAAGTACACACACACACACACACACACACACACACACACACACACAAACAAAATCACAGAAAAGTGAGTGATAGAGGCTGGGGCCAAAATCATGTTAGAAATTACTGCTATTCCTTAAAGATCTAATCAGTGTCAGACACTGTGCCAGATGGTTTACTTACATTACATACATACCAGCAGTTCTGTAAATCAGGATTTATCAAACCCACTTTATAGATAAAGAACCTAAGTAAGACTCCTAGCACTTAGCAATTTTCCCAAGATCATATATCTAATAAGTGACAGGACTAGCACTAGTTCCCTCATCTGAATTCATCTAGGCCCAGACTGTTCCCACTCTTCCCAACTTGAGGCAGACCTTTTGTCTCTTAGTTCCTTTCTCTTCTCGGGATTCTATAATGATTTTCAGGTAACAAAAAGAAGGGCCCTGTAGCCAAGGTAGTAAAAGCATGCCTAAAGAAGGAAGATGGCAAGGAGGAGCAAACAATATGAGGATTGTCTGTGGGTTTCATTTACATAGGGTCTTCCTTCCTGAGCTCCAGGGCTCTTTGAGAGCTGACTCTGCCAAAGTCCTGACATTTTTGTCCAGTCCCAGCACTTTGCTGCATTACAGAACCCTTCCCCTGATCTTCCTCCATGTGCCCTCCTGTCCAACTCTGGAACCTGGCCTGATGATCACCTTGTCACTTCCTTTTCCTCTGAAAACTGTGTACCCTGGTCCAAGTGAAACATCCCCAAATTATCTGCCTAACCCCTGACAGACCATTCCCACTCCCTGCAGAAGCCTCCTGGCTGTCGCATCCCTCTTCCTGAAGCCACATAAAAAAGCACACTTGGCAGATGTTTAGATGCCTAGGTATCTCTCTTGGCATCTTTAACACATTTTCAAATTGCTTTCTAATAAGCTGATAAATAGAGTCTGATTTGCACATAATCTATGGTTCTTGGGACATATAACCCTGAAGTTAAAAAGTGTTTGTGAAACCACACTGATATTTGTATTAAGATTCTAATAAGATATATTATTTGAAATGGACCACTGATCACGTCGACAGATGAATGAGCTTACCTAGATGGTCAAAAATCAAAGCCTTCCTTATAAGTGGTAGATGAGGTAACACCATAGAAATCAATGTGTAAGCAAACATCTTACAGGGACTGGATCCCTAAAACCCTGGAGTCCTCTTCAGAGATGAACAATGGTTACTTGGTGGACATGTTAACTCTGAATAAAGAAGAAGAAGAAAAAAAAAACAGTTAACCATCCTTTCATTGCCTCATGTATGTGTATCTGCCTCACAGGAAAATCCTGGTTTGCAATTATGCCTAATGGCACCTATACAGATGTTTGGGAATGTTCAGAGTGAGGAAGGTAAAAGAGATTCACAAGTTAAGATTTTGACTATGCATCACAAGGAAGGAAAAAATTCTCAGGCTACCGAGATTATGGAAGTTATTGCAAAGAGCAGTACAGACTTTGAAAACATTTAGAGGATCCTTTTAAAACTAAATGTGGTCCTGTATGTGAAAGCACCTGTCACATAGTAGGCATTTGAAAATGTTGGTGAATTTTAAGGAAAAATTGGTTTTCTCAAAAACTCAAAAATTGAAGAGGGTTGTTGTAATAACAAATTATAATAGTTGCTTTTTATTGAGCACCTACTCTATGATAGCTTATGGGAGAGACTACAAGTGCTCATCCACATCTTGTCTTTCTCTCCTTTCTGGGTGGTCCACTAGTAGTTAGGCAGGGGCCAGTGTGCCATTTCCATGCTTCCTCTGCCAT